ATCTTAATTTTTAAATTAAATTAAATTTTATGCTCAAACTCCCACTGAATTGTAGTGTAGACTGTATTGTTGAATATTAAAATAAGACAATTATAACAAATTTTCTTATATTCTACTATAACTTCTCGATTTAATGGTTTCACTTACATCTCAAAGGAATCCTAATGTGTTTAAAAGGTTTCACTCGATTTGTAATTGTATCTAGCAGTTTTACTCAAACAAAGGCAACTATTTTAGTGCAAAACCTTATCTTAAAAAATCCTTTAAAATGTTTTTGTGCAAAGATTTTTCATTATATGTAGTCAATTAAGTCTAATTTAATAACATATTGATGAGTTCATAGAAATGTTTAAATATCTTAGCAACGGAATCAGAGATTATGTCATAAATGATTAAATATATCATACGATTTGTCATCTTATATTAAATAATTTATTTCTTTACTTTCATATAACATTTGCATTTGATTTAAATATTAAGATATATTATAACAAAATATATTGTTAGATCAATATTTAATTGAGCCCTCATTGAGTCAATTAAAGGTTTTTTGGTGTAGCCTCTAAATATGTAGTAAACGAATGAGGGCATTCATAACATTTATGGACTAATTAGCATTTACTTGATTACAAACAAAAAATATCTGGATCTATTTTAATTACTTAATTTGAATTTTAATATCTTTTTTATTAATATATTATATAAGTTTAATTTGCATACATATATTGCTAATTAGAACAGGAATTGTTTAATATTAATATAATAAACAATAATATATTGTATATTAATATAAATTTTATTTTAATATATATTATGTAGTTGATTTTGCAAGTTATAATAGATTTTGTGTATTTTGATTATTAGTATAAATAATAGAACTGACTGAAATCTGAATTAAAGATATTTAATTTTTTATAAGCTTAAAATAGAAATTTTGAATATTTAAAACAAATTAAATATATATATAATTGGGTTTTGAAAAATTAAATAATATTCTGAAATTCATTTAAGCATTTTCATGTCTCCGTAAACTTATATTGCCTAATATATATTTTATACTCTAAAACTTAAAAGCATATTTCGAAACAAGGATTTATGAAAAATTTAATATTAATAATTTAATTAGGAAATCTTTTACTGTATTTACTATATAATATATAATATACATAATATAAGTTTATTAAAAAATAATGGAAAATAATTGATTTATAAAAGCAAATAATATAAAAATCTTTAGAAGTTCTAAATTATTTAAGAGTTTAGATTGATTTTCATGTAAATATATTATTATTAAATCATGCAAATATGATATTTACAGTATATGGTACGGTTATATAATGTTAGTTGTCAGTTTGAATGACAAATTGTGATAAATATTTAATTATAGTTGAAAAAAGTGAAAATTAAATTAATAATATATTTGTTATATAATGTGATTCATCTCTACAGTTATCCGTATCAGTACTGCAAGCAGAAGAACTTCCCGGTCTCGACATGTCTGGGACGAGTGATCCTTATGTTAAGGTATTGTATAATATATTATTATTAATGGCGATATCACAACTAAATAAATGACATTTTATATTGGATTGTACTTATAAATTGATTCGTTTTTAATTCTCTCTAATATATCACAAACAGGTCTATCTCTTACCCGACAAAAAAAAGAAATTTGAGACAAAAGTTCACAGAAAGACATTAAATCCAGTTTTCAACGAAACATTTAATTTTAAGGTAATTTTCATTGTGTATTTTTAGTGCACAATATTTTTCTCAACTTTTACAACTGTATTTATGTAATTGGATTATAGGTTCCGTACGCAGAGATAACTACAAAAACCCTTGTATTTGCTGTCTATGATTTTGATCGGTAAGTGTTTTATCAATTTTTATGTTATTATTATTGATTTCTAAATTTGTGTTTGGCTTCATATTGGTTGTATTAAGGCCTTCAAATTTATAATGTATGGCCAATTGTATATACAAACTTTTAGATGCAAATATGTATCTGATATTTATATAAATTTATCAATATGTTGTTTGGAATTGAAAGTAACAAGTAAACATCTACAAAGTATGCACTTAACTAAAATAAAATGTTTTAAGAATATTCGAGACATACAAAAGCTATTTTAATGAGTAGGTGTATATTTATTTCAAATTACCGTAAAACACTCTAAGCTATTTTGATAAACCCTAATAGAAATATTACTGTACGGTACACAACCAAACATACAATTTATTTACTATACATGTAAAATAAATTCTAATATTATATTATATGTGAATGTGTTTTCTTATTCAGTTTTGCAAAAAAATAGTGTCAACAAATTAATAAGCATTCTTTTTCATTAAAATGTGGAAAAATAATCCATTTTGTTATCACTTATGTTTGTAGATTTAAAATAGTGACAAAAATTTGGTAACTTTTACTTTATATATAAATTACATTAATATCACTCATGAAACATATCCTTAAAGAGCACTTTCCTGTATAACAATAGTATGAGTACAGTATTAGTATTACTAGGTTATTAGATTGTTTAATATAATTCTTTTAAATGATTACATGTTATGAAGTCAACATATAAAATAATTGTGCATTTATAGCAGCAAACATAAAATGTCTAATATATTAAATTTAATTGAATCGTCTGAAAATGATGAAACTAGGTTTTCAAAACACGATCAAATTGGTGAAGTAAAGATACCGTTAAATCAAATAGACCTTGCACAAACTATTGAGGAATGGAGAGACTTGACTAGTGTGGAAGGGGAGCAAGGACAGGTATGGCTTTTTATATTCAACTTGCTTTGCATTAGATATAGTATATTTTAAATACAATAACACAACATAACAATTTACTGTATAATTAAGTTTAGTTATTTGTGGTATAAATACAATTTGTTTTTTTTGTAGTTTTTTGTTGTTGTAAGTGTTGTCAGCTATTATTGTCGTTATCTAATTGTTTTATTAAAATTATTACACAAAAATATTTATTTTATTAGAATTATAACACAAATAATATATAAATATTTACAATAGTTTATTTTATCACGCGTGAATGTATAGTATACTTTGTATATGTTTTACAAACATATAAATACTGTATAATTCACTCGTGATTTATATTATATATATATTTATTGTAAGTTATATATTAATTCTGTATAAGTACTGTATATAGTCGTTGTCCCATTAGCTTTAGTATTAGGCGTATATTAATGGTGAACAATATTAGGCTATAATTGTTAGGTCGATATGTAGGCCAGTGGTGTCATATACGTGTCGCTTCCATACATTGCTTCATATACTGTATGACTGTATGTGATATACGCTGTTATTGATTGCCGATTGTGAATGTAGTGCATGAGATGTGCTTCAAATGCATGTCCACTCACTCTATGTGTATTTCCACTCATTTTGAATGAATCGCCAAAACAACATATTTTTGGTATTTTTTTATTGCCATTATTTGGTTGACTGTCTGTTTGAGTCAAACTTTAGGCAAACTTTAGAAACCAATAAATGTGTCATAAATACATTATACATCCATTTATCCATTCATTTCCTGCATCTCTATATTGCCTGCAAAATATGTTTTGCATAAATGAGTCGGTGTTTTAGGATATAGTCGTTAGAAATGGATTTATACTATAAATATAATTATTATATAATATTATATATTATATCTATTCTAACGAATATATAATTTATTTTTAATTAAGAATTATTTAATTTATTTATGATTTCTCTCTCTTTTCTCTTTCATTCTCTCACTTCGTTTTTCACTCAAAAATTTCTTGATTTTGAAACCAAAAACTAAACGAAAAATTGCAAAAATTATTGATTTTGTTATCAAAACCATCAAAATCTGTACACGACTGCGCCCTCGAAAAAACATATGAAATATTATGTAAAACTTATGTTTTTATTAAAAAAAACTTAATTAATAATTGGCTGAACAATGAATTCTCAATTGAATTTTATGGCCATTAATTGACTGATGAATTTGATTGATTGGCATTAAACATAATTCATTCAAATTCTCATGAAATGTTTTGTCTGATAAACAATCA